CGCGGCACCCTAAGCCGCATCGCCATTGAATACCGAGTCATTGTTAGCTGTGTTGGTGGCGGCCATCGGCATTTGGTCCGTCTGCTTTTCTGCGCGTCTACGCATATTTCCGCGATGACAAGCCCGAAAAAGTGCAATGTGAGACCGCAGAAGTTTCAAACGAAGCACAAGTTCAAGGGAAGGCGGCGTAAAGCGCCCCGAACGACGGCGACGAACGAGAACGCGCCTACGTGTGCTAGGCCTGACGGCGGCATCGACGAGTGCGTGAGCGACAGTGGCTGCGATGAAGGGATTGACGCTGCGCTTTCTTTCGTCAGTGCTTTGGAAAAGAAGCTCGGCTTCTTCGAAAAAGACGAAAGACAGCGCCATGAGGTTCGTGCAACGACAGTTTTGTGTGACACACTCTTGCTGACGGCACTTGTGGCAGGTGCGGCATGCCCTGCTTGCGGTATTCAAAAACTTGCCGTTCGGGAGCCGGCAGAAAAGCGCAAGGGACTTTTGTCGCTCCTCGAACTTCATTGCGAAAACAGCGAATGCTCAGCGACTGTTCTTTCGTGCTCCTATACGTCACTGCGTGTTATGGCGGACGGCAGCAGCCGAGTGAGCCAACAGTACGACAGTGGGAGCTCCCGAGATAGTTTCGCTGTAAATGTGAAGGCGGTGGTGGCTGCACGCGCTGTTGGCATTGGGCATGAGCAATTGTCGAGATTTCGCTCCTTTATTGGACTCCCAAAGCCAATGCACCACCGAGGATTTTTTTCGATAGCAAAGAAGGTGTACACCGCTGCCATGGCAGCTGTGAGTGAAAACTTGCGCCGATCCAGAGAGTTGACGAAAGAAGTAGCAGGCGAAACTGATGTGGCTGTTATGTTCGACGGCACTTGGCAGAAGAGGGGCCACAAAAGCCACAACGGGATCGGCGCAGTTATCTCCTTAGATACTGGCCTCTGCTTAGACTTCGAGGTCACATCAAATTACTGCCTGGCATGCAGTAGGCACAAGGATATGGGCCCAGACGAGGAAGTGTGGCAAGCATTCCATGGCCCAGTCTGTGAAAAAAATGCAGACTGTTCCTCCCATGCCATGGAAACGGAGGCTGCAATGCGCATTTGGCAGAGAACATTGACTTATAACACCCCACTGCATTTCATGACATTCTTGAGTGACGGTGACAGCAAAGCATATAGTGCAGTTGCAGAGTCAAAAGTCTATGGTGCTGTCAATATAGAAAAAGAAGACTGCACTAATCATGTGGCCAAGAGACTTGACACTGCGCTACGGAAGCTGCATGTGCCATTACCACGAGGGCAGAAAATGAAAGAGCCAGCCATTCAGAAGCTTCAAACATACTATCAGATTGCCATAACAAGCAACAGGGGGAGTGTACGGGATATGTACACTGCAGTATGGGCTTCGTACTTCCACTGATGCTCTACTGACAATGCTGGCAGCCACAAGTTTTGCCCTGCAGGAACAGAGTCGTGGTGCAAACATCAACGCGCTGAAGCACTTGGTGAACCTGCACCACGCCACACACCTCTCCTGACAAAAGCACAGGGATTGGCTGTTTTGCCCATTTATAAGCGGCTAACGGATGAGAAGCTCCTTGCTCGATGCATCAAAGGGAAAACCCAGAACGCATCGGAATCCCTGAACAGCAAAATTTGGCTACTTTGCCCCAAGACTAAGTTTGTCTCCCGAACGGTTGTCGAGACTGCTGCAGCTATGGCAATCCTGTGGTTCAACAAGGGTCATGCTACTTTCGAGCACATCCTGGAAGAGCTCAACATACTGCCATCTAGAGATCTAGTTACTTTCAGTGATTCCCACGATGCGAGGTGCATCAAGAGAATGTCCGAGCGTCTTACAGCAGAAGCAAGGGCCCACCGTCGTCGTGGATTGAAAAGGGCACGGCTAGAAGAGAGTGCTCGCAAGGACCGTGAGGGCACAACCTATGCTGCAGGACAGTTCTAGTAACTTGCAGTGCTTTTCAAAGTTCTGTTGAACATTATGGCCAAAGATTATGCATTTCTAACAACTCTGTGATAAAAAAAAAAATGTTTCAAACTTTCAAATGCATTTTTCTCCTTTTGCAGTTTTGTGTGATCTGTACTTCTTATGCACGCTAGTTCGTATACTTAGAATTGTCATACCTCTATGAAATTTTGCACATAGCATGATGAAGGCCCATAGAGTGCAAGTATCTATTCAGATTGTCAGTGCTGCTTGATTATGTTTTTCAAAAATTACATAACATTGAAAGCCCTTGGCAACTAGAGCCATAATAAATTTTTCTATATTATTATTGTATTTCACCTTTTTACACACAAAACTTATATAGTTTTTTGCACTCTACAGTTCCAAAGAATCATAGTCAGCTATATCTGCATGTTTCATCTCAAATTTTTATAGGTCAGAATTGTTGCATAACAATGGCCATAATTTTGCAGTATCTGACCTGCAGAAAGAAAACCAAGCAATCTACATGAAAATAAATGACATATTTGAAAAGAGGAGAAAAAACTCTATTAGCATGCCAATTTGTGTTAAATTCAGACTCTTAATAAAGAAAATCATTTTTCGAGTAGCATCTCCCCTTAAGATGAATGACGGTGAACATGACTGAATGAAGGTGAACTTGAGGTGAACTTGACTTGAGGAAATGAACTTGACTTGAGGCGCAATGACGTCAGCTACAGCTGCTCAACTACTACTCACAGGCAGTTATTAGTCACGGGCAGCTACTACTCACGAGCAGCTACTACTGTAGCTGCTCAACTACAGCTGCTCCACGTGTTCGAGCGGGGTGCAAGAGATCAAGATGCTGACAAGAATGGCATCGTCTGTAGTTGTCTATTGCAGAGCAAGCATCAATAAAATATGTGAGAAAGCAAATGCCTCGCATTTTCCCACAAGTCATAACTGGTTTGACTGCTGCATTCTCTGCTGTCACATCCATGTGACAATATGTGAAGATAAGTGGCTAAACAAAGCTGTAGAAACCCTGCAATTCCACATCAAAACGTTAGCTGCATAGACTGGAATAGCTTTCCGAGCTACTGCCCCTGCTGAGAAAATCACAACACCTTGTCTATGTGGGATGGTAAGGTTTCTGTCAGGCACTACATAAATCTGTTGTCAGTCCTATTAAGTGCACTATCAGCGAGCATAGCAGGTGCCAATTACACTAAATGTTTATTAAAATGAACCCACTTATGAAGAAATATCAGTTATAACGAAATAGATTAACAATAGTATTGCAATAAATGTAGTGCTAAGAGTATATATTTATAACAAATTTTCTGATATAACGCACTAATTTTGCTGTAAGATGCAACATTGTTATATTTAGGTTTGAGTGTATTCCTGTCTCTAACAGGTGCCAATACAGGGAATGTAGCTAGAAGATACACACAGAGGCAGACTTCAAGCTGCAAAAACAATGCCGAAAGCTAACTAGCTGAATATACAGGAATACCTTATTAATTCTAAGTTGTGAAAACCAGGAAAAATTTCAAGATAAATTAATTTTCGAGATTAGCAAAGTTGCGCTAATCGCCGAGAAAAATGAGTGGTTTTCAGAAAAACCACTAATACTACTACTTACCAGCTCTTCAGCAGCAGTTTCTAATCTTTCTTCTCGTGCAGGTTTAAAAGAGCGAAAAATAACATACAAGAGACTTTAACCGGCTGGGTTTTGCTGCACTAGCCACTGCTGCAACTGAAGTCCGCGTGCCCTGTTTGCAAAGCCAGAGTTTTCTCCAGCATTATTGCTGTGGAGACAGGAAGGTTGGCCGCTCTGGCATTTCGCAGCCACACCACTTGATGGATATGTGTGGCTTAACGTCCCAAAACCACCATATGATTATGAGAGATGTCGTAGTGGAGGGCTCCGGAAATTTCGACCACTTGGGGTTCTTTAACGTGCTTTCAAATCTGAGCACACGACCTACAGCATTTTCGCCTCCACCGAAAATGCAGCCGCCGCAGCCAGAATTCGATCCCCCGACTTGTAAGTCAGAAGCCAAGTACCTTAGATACTAGACCACCGCGGCGGGGCACACCGCCATAACACCAGAGCCGTTTTAACGTCTGGGAACTTCAACCCTTGAACCCGCTTCCACTGGCTGGAAAAGCTCTGCTTAAATCCATTCAGAACCTTCTGCTTGTTTTCCAGCGCTATCAAAAGTGTAGACAAAGGATGCCGAACTCCTGCGCAATGCTGGATTTTATTCGGCCTCCTTTCTCCACTTCCTTAATTAAGGCAACCTTTTTTTCAAGCGTTCACTACTAACACTGCTTTGACGACATGCTTACCACACTCACGCTAAGTTGCCGCTCCTCATAATCAGCGAAAAGTCCATACTGTGTGGTTTGCGGAGATGAATGGAAATCACAACTCAGGGAAAATCATGTGCACTGCGAAAAGCAAATGAGGTCAATTACACCAAGCGTGGGCAGAGGACCTCCCTGCTCAGCGCATGTGTCACATGATGTGCCACAGGGTTGCTTGAAAAAGTTGAGAAGTCGCTGAACTGAAACTTCACGCACTTCCCGTTCGCAGAAAGCACTGACGTAGCAGCAGGCGCAGCTAAGAAAAAAAGAAAATCAACGGACTTTAGGCAAGGGAGCATCGTGCAAATCATGTGAAAAGGTCCGGCGGCGAAACTTTCGTTCCAGTCCCAGTTAAGATTTTGAGATATTCGCAATCCAACCAAAGATTACTTTGAGATAAAGAGAAAAATATGCATGGAATTTACAGGAAAATGTTCGGTGCTGCGGAAACTTTTGACTTGGCCAATCTTCTGAGGTATACGAGTTAAGATAACGAGACATTACTCTATCTGATCACTGCAAGCCACTCTGCTTCCCATAACTTTTTTCATGTTTGGCTGGCGATTACTGAAAGGCTATACATGTTTATTTGTACACTTGAAAGATAAAGTGATCAACTCTCAAGTTTAAAAAAAAAAAATGCCCGAAATAAAGTGCACACGTACCTGAACATCATACTTGGACTCTGAGTCAAGCGGCCCAACTAGGAATCGACCGTCTGCATCTGATTCAGTCTCCACATCGGGCCTGTTGCCTGCCATGTCCCGAACGACAACATGAACGCCGCCCAGGGGTGGTTTCACGCGACCGTCCACAAACAGGCCAATGCGCCCCTCAAAACGGGCCGCTTCATCTGCACAGTCGTTGCCTACGGAAATGCGCAGAGCAGGCGGACTGAACAGCAGACGTCCCGACTGAGGTACAAGCTCCACCGAGACCAACGGAGCAAGCATCAAGCTGAACCGAAAGAAGTATTTGTCCCCAGCGTGCTTGACCGGAGCAGAAGGCACCACTCGCACAGGTGCAGAGGTTCCCAATGTGGCCATCACAACCAGGTCAGTGACATTCTCCTCAGTAATCACAATGCCACCCACAGTGTGTCTGAAAAAAGGAAGAAGATAAGATAGATTGAATTAGATTAGAAAGCTCTGGCATATGTGACGTCTTACGTCTTCCCAGCTTTATTATCCCCATGACTTCCAGTTAAAAAGGTAAACAGATACCTCACTACATATGTTATATATCAAAATTTTTACAGTATGTTTTTGCATGAAGTCAAACATATTTACCTTACCTGTTGCCGATTTACTTTCTGTATTCTCACATTACAGATCAAAAATGAAAAAGATTAAAATGATAGTTTGAGTAAAGTTGAGTAACAAACAAATACGTACTACAGTGTTCATACAAACACATACCATATTCGCTCACATAATTTGCCCACTTTTTCTCGCAATTTTGGGGTTCAATGCACAAACTGCATGGGAATTTCACAAACACACACAAAATAATGTGCAATAGTCCTGATGCATGATGTGTACACTGTAAAAAAGCAAACTAAATTGAAGCACTAACAAAGTGTACTAGCATGTTTTTTAACCAGTCATATTCGGTCACGCACAATGCAGTCGGAATGACTGATCGCAATGTGTGATTGGGAATCATCGTCGCGGTCGCTGTCATCACCCTCCCAAAGCGCATCGTCCTCAGTTCGGTCGAGCACGTATAAATGCACCATTTTCTTGAAACTATTCTCTACAATGCTAAGAAAAACTAGGTTCTAAGAGGCAGATATACCAGAGGACCTAAGTGTTTGCTCATAATTGAAAAGACCTTCAACTGCAAGAAGCTTGTTTTAGCAAGCACAGACTCTTCTGCTTTTTTTCGCACGGATTGTCACATGTTAAAGAATTCTGTAGTGCTTAGGGGCGGCACGGTTGCAGTTTTCTTCGGCAAACTTTAAAATAGCGAGATTGAATTTCGCCATATACATAATTTTTATAGCCCATCGCAAGGGAACACTAAGAACGGGACGAACAAATGGCGCAACTTAAACTTCCAAAATCAACCAAGCGTGCATTGCAGTGTGAATGCAGAGAACGTGGGTAATAATTCGTGCAACAGGCCCTCGCACGCTTCCAATGCAGAAAATTCTCAGTGCCCTGATGCGAGCATGCATTCTCACGCGGTGGTAGAGATGGGGAGATGGAGGGAGGCAAACGCTCCGGCAGTTTTGGAGACCCGTCATTAGGTTTGATTGTTCGGGTACGATATTCTAGGAACCCCCGTTCTGGGCAAGTCCTCGAAAGAAGGGACTTCACATTCGCAGCCTTTTGACTGCGCTTGTCAGGTCGGTGAGGTGCGCGCCTAGCATGCCTGTCCAAAACATCTAGAGGTTCAAAGTCTCTCCGTGCATACGCGGGCGAGCTGGCTAGGACGCAAAATATGAGTAATACAATACATATTTTTTAGTAAAGCTGGCAAAATATTTGGGGTGTGCAAATTATGCAAGTAAATAATTACTATATAATAACAGTATTAAAATTGAATACCAATAAGGTACAAGTTCATAAAAACTTCAAAAAGTCAAGAAAGAAGACAGAAATAAACAAGAAAACACATGGCCCATGCAACACTTTTCTGCGTTATAATGAAATATAGTCCCACAACAACCAAACTCTTTTATAAAAGACTTGGCTAGTGCGAATGTACGAATGCTTTGAATATTCGAACAAATAACACAATATCCAAATTCACTTAATATCGAATCGAAATTGTTGAAAATTTTGAAGTATCCGAAACGAACGAATAAATGTTTACCTGAGTATAACCTCCTGTAAAGGTGGTTTAACTGAAGTGGGGGAGTGCTAAGCCATAACAGCATTAAGCCAAACGTGTCAGCAAGCAATTTTTTTGTAAAGTTGGTTTCACCGCAGCAAAATGGTGCCAATCCATTAAAACACATATTCAAGGGGAATTTGCATCTGTACGCAGCTCCACTTCAAGGGTAAATAAAGATATTACGCTCACACCGATTCAATTTTTATGTTGAAAAGGTTGTTCTATCGACTTTTATGCTGCAAGTATAGCAAATTTTAGAACGTAGCATACTTAACAGTTTAGCACTTGCATTCTACCGAAAGTCAAACCCAGCTACTATTTAAAGTTGTTTTGACTTCGGGTGAAGCAAAAAAAGTAACATTAGCACAGGCCTTGTTTCAACTTAAAAAATATTGTGGAGGTTATTTAGGTCAAGACAAACATGCACATTTTTTTTATATGAGATATATGAGCAGTAGAACCTCGTTGATGCAGTTTCGAAAAAAAAAAAAAAAACTGGGAAGATAAACGGAAGATCGGAGAAAATATTTAATCCGAATCAAGCAATTATTCAGGCTGCCAAGTCCATATGATGGTGTAAGGACAAAAAAAAATTTCTTGAAAGACAGTAATTTTCTACTGCTGCCTCTCACCCTTGCACAAGAAAAGCTCCTTCAGCACACATTGACAATGTCTGTATATTTATTGTTTTTCCTGCAAAAGAAGCTTTGTAAGCTTCCAGCCCTGCATGAGCTTTAGCGAAGTTCGCCGGTCGGCGCCCGCTTTTGTTCTCGTTGCTGTCTTCCCGTGCCTCGTCTTTCACCTCTTTCGCCGTGTCAACCCACACCACCTCCGCAAAAATCTCACGACAATTTGCGGCTTGCAAGTCAGCCCGTCGTCATCTACAAAGACGAAGGGTGCATCGGCACCCGTGGAGAGGAACTCCTAATCAATGTCGTCAGAAGCGCACGCCACAGGGCGCTATGCTGCGCTCTGTATTCTTCGGTGCAAGCTGCTGCTGAAGGAAGCTTCACCTTAATCCACAAGGGCTTGCACTTTCCTGTCGCAATGCTGGACACAAGTGTCTCAAATCGCGAACTACTGAGCAACGTGCAGCCACAGAACACCTGCATACTACTATTGTGCAACCTGGCACAGGGCCCGACTTGCATATCTTTAAATCTTGTTCTTCTCGAAGTAGCCACAATCACCGAGGCCCCGACGATGACTCTCATTGGGTGGCGCTCGTTTTCGGTGGAGGTTATTCTGCAGAGTTGAAGACACCCTGATAACACAGCGGGGCATGCATCCCGCGCTAATGACATGGGAATAAGGGGGGGGGGGGGGGAGATAAGCGTGTTGCGCTCGCATCTTTCCTGCTGAAAGGTGCGTGGCTATATACTTAAATGAGCATGGCCTTGTAAATCTTCTAAAGGAAGATCATGCTGGCAGACGGCAGCCGTGCAAGAGACAGAATGGGGAGAGGAGGCAGATGTAGTGGCGCGTTGTGCAGTGGAGACAGCCCGTGCGTCTCACGCCAAGCGATGGTTAGCTCCGTAGTGTTCTCTCGGCTGTTTTAGTGTGAGATGATCGTGTTTTCACGTGCCCTGCTATGAATGAAGGCTTTTCACTGCTCAACGAAATTGTGCCAAGGTGCCAGCTGAGAAAAAAAGGACAACTGTGCTAGAGATAATAAAAGGCATTTTTTGAAAACTGTTTGAGGACTTTGACAGCTCAGAGGAGCTTTCTGTGGTTCACAGACAGTTGCAGGAGTGATGGAGAGGATGACCGGGCATTCAAAGAAAGTGCTGAGGGGGCAACCAAGTATAATGCGGTGAAGACGCGAGGGATGAAGGGGTGGCAATTGAGCGCAGCAGAGGAACCGCCCTCGCCGCGAGGCAGCACTCTGCCACTTGGCACTTCACAAGCATGCAAGGGCTGTTTTTTCCACACCTGAATGAGAATTTTTGCCAACGAAATGTATCATACAGCTGTAGTTTGCCGCAATGCCGAACGTTGCTGCCGAATAATCGTATTTTCAGGGAGGATATCAAGCGGAATGCATTCCACAAAGCACTATGCGGGCATTTCTAGTTTTCGCAATTTCAAGCATATGAGCCGGGAAATTGTGCTAAGTGGGAACGTATCAATGAGGTTGTAATGTATTATATTAAAATTTGATTTGAACTTATTCACCTAAATTCACTATTTGCTTCAAATTTGCTTTGAACCTAAAACTCACTATTTGCTTAAACCTATAAAAAACACTAATGTAAGAGACGATTGGGCATAAGAGTATGCCAACATTAAAATAAGTCTTGATAAGAAAACGTGTATGTGGTACCCTGGTTGCAAGAGACACCTCCTATAAAATACAAGAACTGCCTTTGGGTGCATATGTCTTATAAAGGGGTCTAGCTGTATTAGCACATAACTCTTCTGGAATGACCCACCGCAAAAGTTTTTAGAATCCGCTGCGTACAAGCATGGTTATAGGACACTTCAAGCGTTTTCTTTTTCCTTTGATGCCAGTGAGTGGGCTGACTGCTTTGCAGGGAGGGGAATGACAACCAGGTGAAAAGATGCGTTCCATGGCATCATCACAACCATGAGCACATTTTCTTGTTTTCTTCAAACGCAAGGCTTATTTTTAGTGTGATTGCAAGCATGTGCATGAGCACATAGCGGCATCCGACAGCGGCCACAGTAACTAAGCAGCACACGATGTGTGAAAAAGTCAACCACTGTGGACATGGGTGTATGATGAAAAGATTTGGGTACATGGCATCATTTGTAGAGGGATAAAGGAGAAATTTAGAGTTGACTCGGAGAGTTAGTTGCGCATGCTAGGCCGTGTGCTGCCCTATAGTGCTTGCCTCTCGTGTTCTTTAGAATCTGGATTACTGATTGGCAGCGTTTTCTGATCACGCTGAAAAAGTGCTGCCAAGCCACTTTGAGGAACTGATGAGACTGAACAATATATGAACAGAGTTACATTGACTACAGCCTCATGCAGGAAGCACCATGTAATTCCGGAACAACTGTATGAGTGAGTAGACTAAGGCTGTCACACTTTCCTTACCTGGCCACAGTCAGAGTGATGGCAGCAGGCTGAGATGTGTCGAAGCGGATGTCCTTCTCTCTAAACTCGTGGCACCCGACTGGTCGCACGGCATACGTTCCTTGCTTGGGCAAGCAGTGCCGAGACGAGCCCGCAGGGACTTCCAGGTTCAGGGCGGCGGCGCTGTCGTCTGTGTGAACCACTTCGACGCGAGTGGCATGACTCGACACCACGGTGGCCCGGAAACCCGACTGCTGCAGCGTCAAACGTGAGACGGCCTCGTCGACGACATGAAGCTTGCCGCCAGCTCGGTCGTGTTCCCAGCACCAATCCGGGCGGTCCACCCAGAGCCTGTATTTCCCCACGGACAAACCGGCGAAGTGGAAGCTCCCATCTGGCTGAACCTCAGCTGTGGCCGTTTCGGCGTCCTCTGGCAAGTTGGCAGCACGCAGAAACACTTTGAGACCCTGGCCGCACTCCTTGATGCAGGCCACTTTGCCTCTAATTTCAGCCCTGAATCTCTTGAAAGCCACTTCGCTTGCCTTTGCAATGGGAACTTCCAGCGACATGTCAGCAGGGATGAAGCGAAGGCCCAATGCCTCCTCCTCCTTCCCGACAAAAGGTCGCAGAACGTACTTGCCGGCTTTCAGGGCAGTGCAGAATTTCCCAGAGGAGTCAGCAATCACCGTTGATGGCTCCTTGCCTCCTTCCACGATGATCCTTCGGCTAGCACCTTCAATGGTGCCACACACTTCAAACTGGGAAGCCACCACGGCTGGAAGCTCGGGCGTGTTGGGCGACACTCGCACGTGGAACGGTTCAAACGTGATGCCGGGGGCCTTGACGTGGATGACGTACTGGCCAGCCTTCATGTTCTCGAGGTGAAATGTGCCGGAGGCATCGGTACTCGCCACTCTGCTGCCACCCAGGAAGACTTCGGCCTGAGGCACGCCGGGTCCCTCTTCGGAGACATGCACCTTGCCACTCACACTGAAGCCTTGGATCTGCAAGGTCAGGCAAAAGTGAATTCGAAAAGTCGGCGATAATTCATTGTTCTCAAAATTTCAACTTCTAAGATTGAGACAAGCTGTAACTACCGTAAGGAAGCACAGAGTCAGGTCATTCAAATAGCTCTGTGGCACCTTCAGAAATAGTTTCTACTAGAGCTATGTGAACAACAGAACTTTGGCTGCGAAGCAAATTTGTATATTGAAGTACGAGTACGAATTCAAAAGAATATTTTTCGACTATATTTAAAACTCCTGGAAGTGAAATTGCAGAAAAAAAAGTTGGAGATGATGCCTACGCATATTCTTATAAGATAGCAACATGAAAGTGTTTCTTTTGGCTGGGTTGATGAAGTGCAGGCCAGGTAGTGTTTCATAGTTGTCTTATCAAGAATCAGACAGTACAGAGGATGAATGTTACTTATGTTATGTTTCTTTGGTGCAACCAAAGTGTTGCAAACACCACTTCCCATGTTAAAGACAAGTATGCCATTTCTTCAGCCTCTCCTCTTTCAACCTCTCTGGAAGCCTAACTGATATGGTGGGCAACAGTGTGCTTCCTTCGAGTTCGGAGGTCAAGATCTGCCTTGTAGACATCAATATACATATAAGAACATCTTAAATTTTGTATGCTAAATATCTTCGATGTCTGATTTTTCGGACTTCTGGTTGCAATTTTATGAGCAAAACAGCATTGATTGAGTGCCCCCTCAGGCACATCTGCCACATCTGCCATCTCCATGTTGTAACCAAAAAGTTTTTACTCAATACATTTGCTATCCTGCCAAAGTGTGAAAGGCAGCTTTGCCGCAATACAAGAGTGTGATTAGGTGAAGCATATTGAAAATATAAAGGATTATAAGGATGGTAAAATCAATTAATGATTAATCGATTAAATGTGTAAGATTATACATAATGAATTTCAATCTTTTTATTAAATGAAATATACAATTAAGAAGTCTAGGTTAATCGATAACGGCAACCACGTTGCCAGAAGTCGAGATGCAGAAGTCGAGCACAACTAATCTTTTATTGCGACACTGTCTGCTGAATTTTTACGCCGGCATCGGAGTCACCGTCACTCACCGTATATGTATAAGTATCTATATATATGTAACCACAAAAAAGAAAAATTATAGTAGAAAAAGACCCTGGCACCCGAAATCGAATGTCGGACCTCTGAATCGTGAATGCGAGGCATTAACCACTCAATCAGGGTAGAGAACCTGCTTCAACGTTGAAACAGCAAGTAATTTATATCTACTACTTACTGCTGTTGACGGGCATTTTGGAGAAAACCATCATGTGTTCAGCATTACCAGAAAGATGGCGCAATAAGCAAGCATCACCAAAGGTCCCTAGATGAAACTTGTATTTAGGAACCTTAGCGTCACACAGAGTCCCCACGCGGCAGCGCGCGCTCTCATCTCCCACCCGTACTTTGCCGCGCGGAGAGGAGGGAAGTGGACGCTCACTCGCGCGCCCATATCTCATGGTGGGGAGGATCGTACGTTGTGGCTGGCCTTGGGCCTACCAGGATAATCTACCCCCCCCCCCCCCCCAATGTAAAAAAAAGGTGGCTAAGAGGTACGGTGTTCATGTAGTGTTTTCTGCCCCTACAAAGTTACGTCAGATATGTTCTTCAATGACCAAAAAGAGTGATTGATATGTGGGGTTTAACATTCCAAAACCATTATATGATTATGAGAAACACTGTGGTGGAGGGCTCCGGAAATTCCGACCACCTGGGATTCTTTAACGTGCACCCAAATCTGAGCACAGGGACCTACGACATTTCCACATCCATCGGAAATGCAGCCGCCACAACCGGTATTCGAATTCACGAGCTGCGGGTCAGCAGCTGAGTACCTTAGCCACTAGACCACCGTGGCGGGGCAATTACCAAAAAGGAGATCGCGAAATGCTCAAAAGAGCATGCAAACATGTTCACTCGGCGAGTTTTTGCTGTTGTTTATCTGATCGCTTTATCATGTAGGAGAGTGTATATAGGGCAGATGGAGCGATGCCTCAGTGAACACATGTGTGAGCACTGTCTGGTCGTAAAGGAAGCAATGGTAGTCACTTGGACTTTCATTGTAGGACATGTGATTGTACCCGCCCAATTTGAGAATGTGACAGCCATGGCTAAGAAATGTGAAAAGACAGAAAGGAAGATTATATAAGCGTATTTTATAAGACAATTCAATGACAAATGCATAAGCATGGCACCAATCTTGCTTTCGGACAGGGAAGTAGTTTTTCTACATGGCCATGTTTATTTTGTGGGTAACACCTTGCAAGGTTTTCTTCTCATTCTTTTGCTGACCTTTTGATGAGTGTGCACTTGTTTCTCTTGCTTCATTTATCATGAAATGCTTAGTAGTTTTTCATAAGGTTTTATGTTTTTGACTCTCTCCGCATATTGCTTCATCATTTTTGCTCATTTGGTGCTCACTTAGGGTGATTTGAAAATTTATGTTTTTAAGAGATATAAAAAAAAAGTTTTTACAGCACCTTTTTTTGTGTTCGCGTCACTGGAGAAGCTTGGCGCAATGAAAAAGTAAAAAGTAAATAGATAAAATAGAAGTGTACACCTTGTGAACAGGCAGGTTAGATTGTGGCGTTTGTTTTTGAGTGTTTTGTCACGGCTCCATTTGCGGCACCTCTGCAATAGAAACCCGTTCTGTGCGCATCGTGGTAACGCAGTGTGGCATGCCTATATATTGGTTTGATGAAACTACAATGAACAGTTGGTAGTCTGAGCTCTTTTCTGTCTCACTTCTCGTTTTTTTTTAGCTTGCGCGGCAAGTCGAGTTTCCAAATATTACACGGCAGAGAGGCTGCAGCTTGAACCAGCAGAGCCCATCCTGCTACACTGCTCTGCAGCAAGGAACGTTGCAGACTGTTCTCCATGTCATCATCCTTCAGCATGGCGCTCCATCTCACTTGATCCCGGACCATGGTCGCTGCTTTCTGTCTCATCAGGTTGATGACCTACTTTGATCTTGTGCTACTCGACATAACTTCACAACTTCTTACCATCCTCACACTGAAAGACTCACCGAATGCCTCAACGACACACTGACGAACATGCTTTTCATGTACCTTTGTGACGACAATGCACGCCAATTGAGACATCACTCTCCTGTTTGTGAGCTTCGCCTAAATCTCATTGCATTATGAAACTGCCGGCTACTGTCCACTTTACTGTCCCTCCGGCTGTCATCCCTTTTTCGATGAGCTTTTCGACACCCCCATTCCGTCTGACAGTTCATCCACCTTCGTACGCTCGATATGCTGCCACCCATGTTCCTATAGCATGTACAGTAGTTCGTGCTCAGTTGTCGTGGTCCCATTGCACAAAAATAGCTCCGACTGTCAACACAGAGATGCCGATTTTCGGCATTTCTATGCCGTTATGCTTCCCGTAACACGCAGAGCTAGAATGATTGCTAAAAATTCTGCTATAGAGGGTTTCAGTGTTTGTAAACAAACTGGCTCGCGCCAAACGGCCAACTTCAACAGACTTGCAGTGCGGCACTTCTGGAAATGCTTTTTCAATGGCTCCGACGATGTTTTCATGGTGTGTTTGAGTTTGCTGCTCCATTATTTCTGGCGTATTCCTTAAGATGGACAACTGGGCGCCCTCCTTCCCTCAGCAAATGTGCAATCTATTGTCGACACTCGATTCCAAATCTTACAGTAAACTTTATTGAGAAGCATCCACACTACTGTAGAGAACATTGTACAGACAGCAATAGCGAATTTCACCGCAAGCATGAACAACAGGATTACCACGTTTGACGCTAAAGCGGACGGACTTGTAGCGGAGCTGAACAACTTCATAGCATACGTGAAGAAGACCTACACCACCAAAGAGCACCTCGACACTTCACCAAGTGACGTTCATCCTGACAGAAAGCGGGCACGAGCAAAAGGCCGAAGTACTTCTCGCTCAGTTTCACCTACCTGTGAGCGCCAGCGGGAATTTGAACAGATTGAGGATGGCAGTTTCTAACCAGAAGACAACAAACACACACTTCTCCGTGTCTGGCAGTGGGACTGTCGTTCTTACCGTCCACGTTTTTCTACTTTGCAAGAATTTGTGAAGCAAGACCCATCTGACCTCATAGCACTGCAAGAAACAAATACACATAATGTGCGGCTACAAGAGTACAACGCCCACGTCCAAACAATGCGTACAGCAATCCTTACAAGAAAGACTATCACGGTACAGGAATTAGAACTGGTCAACACACTTATAGAGCAAACCATGATAGAAGTAATACCGAAAAGGAAGCTGCAAAAGAGACTCATTGTTGCGAGCGTGTACAGCCCCCCGAAAGACCAACTGCCAGGATTCGCCCTTTTGGTTCGAGAACTGAAGAAACGTGCCGATGTCCATCAAGTTGTTATAATGGGAGGTTTTGATGCCCCTCACCAGCAGCACAGCCTGTCATTGTGGAATGATCCACTCCAGACAACAAGGGCAGGGAATAGTGTTGCGACAGACACAAACCCCGATCTCACATTTACGTTAAATGTGCGTTTAGCAGAGTGGAGCTGTCTCTCAGAAACCCTGAGAAGCGACCACCACATCATTCAATTAACCGTAACTCACACTTGCAGGCCCAGGAGGATTGGAACAGCCCAACTAACAAAGTGGAGTTCATTCTGAGATGCTCTAAATGTTGCGACCACCATCGATGACGTAGACAATTAGGTGAGGAAGGTCTTCGACAATGCGGACCAACACATCAAAAGAATACAGCTGAATGAGGACACACCAGCCGTTGACGCGCACCTCCTCCATCTCTGGAAAGCAACATCTCTTCTCAAGAGACGGAAGAGGCAGAAGCTAAATAAGAAACTCAGAAAGAGAATCACCCTGCTCACTGAACAAGCACAGGAATATGCAGAGAGGTTACGAAGACAGAACTGGTCTGCATTTTGCGATGCACTACAGGGAGCCTTAAGCACTAAGAAAACGTGGCACA